CCCCAAAACCCCAAAACCCCAAAACCCCAAAACCCCAAAACCCCAAAACCCCTTCATGAAGAAATTCTGCTGAATTTTAACCAACTTTTGACTATAAAATCAGGCTAAATTTGTTCTGGTCTGAAGGAATTTGGAATTTTTGAGGAGATTTAGTAGTAGGTCAGGAAGGATTCGGAGCCACTTCTTTCGCCAGGGTCCTCGCGACTTGTGGATTTGAGAACGGAGTTGGAGAAATCCCAGCTGGTTTGTTTGTAGGTGCCTGTTTCGTGGAATGCAGAGCCGGTTCTTGTGATGAGAAGGTTTTGTTTTAGGAATTCTTCGTCACTCGTTTCTCCTTGTTTGACTATATTGAGTTTTGTGTGAGATTTGGGGTAATGGAGAAGCATTTTTAGTTAGGTTTTGACATCAGAAAAGTTTGATATTTAAGAAATTGAAAAAGTTCACAGTATTTTCGAATATTAGCTAAAGCTATCTTTTAAATTCTTTGATAATAAATGAGATGCAGCAGAAGAATAAAATTATGTAAATAAACCAAAAATGTTGACTTATCTAAGGTTGATCATCTCTCACCATCAAATAAATGATCTTGAGTATCTTTCACTTAAATTCAAGAGGCAAAGAATGAAAATTTCTGTTGAAATTCCTATTGAGCTCTGACTTACACTGCTGGTCAAAGTCTGTATCTTCTGAAAAGATTGATCCTCTCATGGCTTTCATATTTTTCATTTCTTTATATGATTTCCAAAGTACAACCATTATAGCTACCGAGGGTAAAAGTTCTGTGAAGTAGCAACTAATCATCAAGATGTCATCTATTTTACATAATGTTCCTCAGGCCTCTTTAGGATTTTGGACAAAAGAATCAAACATCAAGTTTACTCATCTATACAGCATTCATAGAGCTATTATTGTAGTGTAAGCTCTTATGATGTTAACTTTTTGTTGATATAGAGCCATCTTATTGCTCTTCAGCATTCATAAGAACCAATTAGATGCAACTAGTAGCATTATCCCGCTTATAAACAACAGTAAACACATTAAGTAAAAGGTAAAATAGTTGGAAAGCACATTTCAAGCAGTAATAATGAATAGTACCATAGATGCGACTAGGATAGAGATGTATAGTCCCTTTATAAGATTGTTCTTGAGAATCACCTTATTTTCCTTGATACCAATCCTTGCAGTTGCCATGATACCCAAAGTCCCATCCGCAGATTTGTAACGCCATATTATACAGAAATTAGACCATCTGAAGGAGTATCCCAGAATTGAAAAGGAATGCATCAGTATTGGTAGGAATACTAGTATCATCTTGACTGTTTGAATTGCTAAATCTCCTGCATTGTGATTTCTGTTAAAGTATGTATCAGGCTCATAGGTCCATAAATAAATCAGCTCAAATATTCTTGAAGCGTAGGCCATGATAAGGAAAAATGCTATGAATCTGAAATAGAACTCTCTGATTTGTATTCTCCAATACTTGAAAAGAAGGATAGTTGCTGCTATTATTCACATTAGATTCATAGATATCACCACTATATAAAGTGGCCACAGAGCTTTATGCATTATTTTCATGATTTGCTTAAAAGGGATCCCTTATTTCTATTTTTATAAAATTATCTGGGGTTTTGGGGTTTTGGGGTTTTGGGGTTTTGGGG